CTTGAACAAAATTATTGTTAATATTTAATAATTTATAGAAACTAGCCTTTTCAATTTTTTTCACTTCATTTTCTTCAAGGAATGTTTAACAGAAATTTTTCTCTAAAAGTGAACATTGTTCTTGTCCACTACTTTTTGTCATGCTTAAAACTCTTTCAATTGAGCCAAACTTCTATCAGGTTTATAAATTCCACCTTCATAGTTTTTTACAGGATCATAACTGATTACATAAAATATTTCAAGTTTTGCTTCTAATTTAGTTGTGTTCCTATAAAGTTATGAATAGCCACCAGGATCATTCTTAACTTTTTCAGATGTGTGGGTGGTGTAATATAATATACTATACATTACACCACCCACACTCAGCTGAATGAGAAATCAGGGAGCTGAGTTTGAATTTCAGTCAAGTTCATTACATTCACTTGCACACAAATACTCTTGGGAAAGGTATGAATCCATCTCTTTTCTTTCCAGCTGTGGATTAAATAGTAGAATTTGTATCTGGAAAAGTCATTGTTATCTCCAAAAAATTGTTAATACAATATTCACTCAAAAATAAAGAATTATTACAATCCCAAATAGGTTTTGACTTTAAATTGTTTCATCTTTCAAAGGGTTAAGCTATAAAAAGAAAATCAATCAACCTTTCATCTATTATTTTATAAAGAATATAAAAGTATATCTTTATTAATAATGTCTGGTCTGGTGCTTCTGCTTTTTACTTAGAGATTCTAGATAAAATACAAAGTTATTGATCCTAACCTGGCATCTCAGCTTCAGTCATTTTCGTACTGCCATAATGTAGCTTCCCTACGCCTCTTCTATAAATATTTTTATGGTAATTGTTCTTTAGTACATAGACTATATAAATTCAAGCATAGTACTAGATTGGCAGCAAGGTTTCATTATTTTACAGTTGAAATTGTTAGATATAAATGTAAGTTCTATGTTAAATTTCTTCTCTTGCATTTTCTGACTGTGGAACTCTCTTCCAGCTTCTTGCTTTCCAGTCAACTTTGATCTTCAAAATTTTAAATGCAATGTCAGTTGTTATCTTCTGTCTTAATTACTGTTCTTTTATTATTCTCTTTCCTTAATGTTTTTTCCTCATATTCTCTCACACTCAGTAAGCCCTTGCATCTTAGTGACTTTATTGCCTTGCTTGAGGTGAAATGATTAAAAAAAAATAAAATAATGGAAGAATGCAATTTATTAAAAAATATCCTTGAAAAACTCATTTAATTAAATGTGTGGCACAAAATCCTCTATCTTGGACTCTTGCTTAAAATAAAAATTCCTCTCTTCTCTTTTCAATTTTATAATTTGTTTCTATGCTGATTTTAATGTTGTTTACTAATGTAAATATTGGAATATAGTTAAAAAAAATTATACACCCTAAATTTTATGAAATATGATTCAGAACAAATCTGAAGGCACATTAAAATAGTGAATGATGCCTTTCAGAAACTAAATATATTAAGAAATGGGAAAATTACATTAAAAACAAAGAAAAGAATGCTGAACTGCTATGTCATATCTAATCTATATGGCGGTGAATGAAGAAGAAACTTTAAGCAAAAGAGATGTAGTTTTATATATGGATGCTGAGAATACCATGGATTGAATGTCTGAATAAGAAGGATGTTTTAAAGAAAATAGAAATTACAAGGAAAAAGATACTTACAATTAGAAAGAGGCAGCTAAAATTTCTGAAGAAAATAGGTTTGGAGAATGTGATACTCATAAGATATTGAAGGCAGAAAAAAACCTACTTAACAAGTTTGTGTGAATGAATGGTAGAGCAGGGACAAAAAGAGGTGGTAATGAAGAGCTTAGAGCTACAAGGAACAGGAAGTTATGATCACTTATACATGTAAAGGAAGAGTATCCATTAATATAAATTGTATGTAAATTTATTAACTGTAAAATGTAATATTTTAAATACATTAATGCATATTTTTAGTTTGCCATGTCTTTGTAGATTTAATAATGCCTTCTAAAGTTTTTGCTTTTTGAATTATTCTAAGATTTGCCATTTACCATTTCTACTTGTTGTGTTATGTCTATGACTATCCTTACCAAAATATTTATAGAAGAGGCGTAGGGAAGCTACATTATGGCAGTACGAAAATGACTGAAGCTGAGATGCCAGGTTAGGATCAATAACTTTGTATTTTATCTAGAATCTCTAAGTAAAAAGCAGAAGCACCAGACCAGGCATTATTACCCTTTTGTTCCAAATATAAGTACTGTCTGGAATAATCATGCTGGTTTGAATTTTTTAACTTATAAAATAAACAAGAAATTTTTTGATTCCTGGAAAAATATAATCATACTGCAGAAAAAAGTGTTTGCAAAATAAGTGCTTTTTGCCCAGAAGGATTGGATTGACAGGGATAATTTAATCATGCTAGAACTTGTAATTGGTACACAAGAAGATTAATAAATAGTAGACCCAAGTAAAACTGTCCTATCCAAAAGGAAAAGGTATTGAATACTTTATGTGGCCAGTTCTTTACAAAGACAAATCTCTCATCATAAAGTTATTGCTGCTAAAAATAATGGTAATGAAAGACAATCATGGTCATTTGATTCAGAACAAGAAAATAGAAAAAAATTTCCTACATAATATAAAACAAACACATATACAAAACAATTGCACAATTGTTATGATATGGCATCTTGATATAGGATAATGATTAGTAAGGCTAGTCTGGTTGATCATTACTATTGAGTAGTGTTGAATGTGCAGGTGGATAGCAGCTCAAAACAAATTCAGCAAGCTGAGTTCAAATTTCAGTTAAGTTTTGTTACATTCATCCAATGATGTGCAGAGTTTTGGTGACTCCCAGGGGCTAACTACTTCATTGTATACCCTAAGACTCAAGTAGGGAGGCCTATAGGGCCTAGTACTGAGAAATGTGAGAAAAAAGGAAAATATTTAAAATATGTAAAAAAACAGATGAAACATGAAATAAACACATTATTCAAATTAAAAATAAACAAGATTTTTATTTCACTCTTTGATTGGATGCCCTCCCAATATGTATAGCCTGGGTCATCACACTCTTTGCCCCTCCTTCTATATGCTACTGCATTCACCTTTGTGCAAATACCCATGAAAAAGGTATTAATCCACCCTCCAGCTATGAGTTAAATAGTTGGTCAAACTGGGTTCTTCACTCTTGGTTGGCAACCAGTCTATGAGATGGATAACTCTGACTTCATAACCATATATATCCCTGGTGAAGCACATACTATGCAGCCAACAAAAGGGTCACGGAGTTCACAATAACTATGATACCAACTGTGGTTGATCTGATGTATGGAGTGTTCAATCCTCATTGGGTATCATATATAAAATATTCAACAATAAATAATCCAGCAAAGATTGACATGTCATAAAATTAACCAACATAAACCTAAACAACTGTTATAAACCCAGATGCTTATTAAAAGCCCATATTACTTTTTTTAATGAATAATCATCAGCTGTTGTTTTAATTCGACTGCTGGATAAAAGCTTTTCCCAATTTATTTCATTATGATCATGATTATGTTAATTTTTGTCATGTTTTATCAGAAATCTTCTATCTTTCTCCATTTTCTGTCTATTTTCCTACTGTGTTTGCTTATCCTTTGGGCACCAGCCAAACATCCTTTTGCTTTATCTGTTACCCTTTCTTCTTACTATATGCCCTATCTACCTCCATATTTTGTCACTTAATAAATTCTGTATCTATTATCTTGATTTGTTCTTGCATTAATGTTGACCTCTTTCTATCTTTTAAAATTATACCTTGCATTGCTCTTTTCATTGGTTTTTGTGTGTTTTTAAGTTTGTTTTCAAGCAATTTTATTAATCATCATTCCTGCATTACACATTAATTTTACACTTTATTTTTTTAAATTATTGGCAAGATACTTTTTAAGTACCACCTAAGTAGATGCTTACAAACCCAATTATAAACCTTCTCAATGTTTACCTATAGACTCAAAAATAATAAAATACAGATGATTGATATGTCATAAAATCCATCAATCTACCCCATCTGCCCAAAGATGTATTCCTGGAATTCTTCCAGTTCCTCATCCTTTATGCTTATGATCTGAAATATAAGAAAAATATGCAAAATTATGTTGGAATGTTTTATTATTTTCTTTAATTCTCTTAATATTCAATAAGGAATCAATGATTGGCAAGACCATTATAACTATTAAAATATATTTTCAAGTAACACTGAATAAAAAGTAAGTTTATATCTCCAAATTCTTGCATTGAACCTAAAAGGCATGTCTTTTCTACAAAAAGTGATATTTCTTCTCGTTACCAATAATGCTTTTAACATTTTGATTTTTAACTAGTACATTTTTTTCATCTTAATTTCAGTTGCTTTTTATTACAAATCCCATGATAACAAGTAAACAGCATGGCTTGAAAAAAATAATTCTCCATCCAGATTGTAACTTATATATCCCTTATTACACACACTGCTTGCTAACAATTGTAGTATGACACTTTGAGAGATGCAATAAAAAGTGACTGAAATTAAGATGAAAGAAATATTAATAAAAAAGGAAAAATTGACTGTTTGTCATTTAAGAAATTTAAATAACTACTCATGTTTATTAGTTTTAATGCAAAACTCCGTCAGAAATTTCATAATTTTAATGCTTGAACCTTTAAATTTACTTAATTTATTTTCTTTTTATACACTCTTTTTAAAATATTGATTCATTTTCTACATTTTATCAACCCTTGCAGACTATTTAAAAACAGAAAATATTTTTAGATTGTAAGAATTGTTTTTTTTATTGAGATGATTTACTGATACAAGTCTTACTAATTAAACCATAGCTGGGGGAGAAGAGGTGGATTCATGCCTTTCCCAAGGGTATTTGTGTGTAAGTGAATATAACAAATCCAACTTGAATTGGAACTTGGCTCTCCAATTAACAATTTTGAGCCATTATCCATCATACCAGCCCATACATCTAAGCTTACAGCACCTGGTATTACCAAGCGGTCACCCAGCTAGGTAATGACCAATCTTGATGTTGCTTAACCTTGGAGATCATATGGAAACTGGTGTTTCAATGTGATACGGCTTTAAGCCTTTTTTTTTTTTTTTTAAAGAAAGGTGTTGATTACAAAATACAACTTGGAGTCTTTTTCATCATGGCATGCTCTTTTTTTGAAAAGTTTGGGAGGTACCTGCATGAAATGATTATGTTAATAGAGATGAAGAAATTAAACACAAAATAGGTAATTTTTTCCAACATCACAAGATACTAAAAAAACAAAACATTGACCTAAGAACCTAGTCACATTCTTTAATAGGCTTGTTTTTTGACAGCATGTTAACCATAAACCATTTTTAATAGGACTAACTATTTCTAACACTTTTACCAATCTTCACAAAACTTGGCATTAATCTACTGCTCTCTATCCTTTCATTCATTTTCTGCCAACAGTATTATGACTGTGTGCAACTTAATCTACTGTTTGGCATCAAATGATTCATATGGACTATGTCTCAGAGACATCATACTTATTATAAAACCCAGGTTGTGTGTGTGTGTGTGTGTGTGTGTCTGTTCGTTTATAAATTGGACAACAAAACTTCACAGGACTACGTAAAATTACCTTGCGGTGGTTCTGACAGCGCCAAAAATTGGAAAAACACAATTGTTTTTGCACGAAATCAATTTGAAAACACTATTAAGAGGCATCGCTGTCACGAGAATGAAAAGGGGACAACTCATATCGAGTTATGCTTATTATAAAACCCAGGTTGTGTGTGTGTGTGTGTTCCTTTATATATGAGATCGGATTTCCTACATTTTTCAACCGATTTCAACAAAACTTCACTTTTTTTTTTTTTTTTTTTTTGGCAGGTAGTGTTTCTTATTGTCTTGCACACTTTTTTCTTTATTTTTACATTCAGAATGCTTTAAAAATTCCATTTACATGACAATTGTTTATAATAAAATTCTATTCAATCGGTAGACTCATAACGATTGAAAACAATGTTTTTGTTGAGTTTGGGTTTGACCAATTCGTAAAAAAAAACAAAAAAACAAATAAGACATGCATGTCTATCAACCTTGATATGCTCAGGTACAAATGTTAGTTTAACTCATTGTCCCAGTGATACATTACAGCAATTCTGGGAATTATCAAATCTTTTCTGATACATATCCCTCATTAGAAATATTATTGTTTCTGTTATATGCTTAAACATAATTTTTATGCTTTTTGATCTCTATTGCATCAAAGACCAAACTCTAAAAATGTTAAGTAAGTCCTTTTAATTTGAAAATTGTTTGAATATATTGTCAATTAAAAGATGATTTGATATAAATCAAAATATTATTTTATTGTAAAACCAAAATTCTATTGATCTTAATCTTTTGTGATTGTAGATTTTCTCCTAAGTCCCAATGCCAAAGAGGTGCCTGCCTACCAGCTCAGGAATAGATGTTTGGAACCATTCCAAATGGCATTGGAAACACGGACAAAAAGACTTAGCAACATGGCCATCAAAGGGATTGAGGTTTGTTTCCTTTCTTACTGTTTTCAATACTGATTAATTTTCTATTCTTGACCATGTGACACAATGTTATAAAATTAAAATGTAATATAAAAAGTACTTTAAAAAAAAAAAAAAAATCAATAGCTAAAAAAGAAATATATTTGATAAATGTATCCTACCATTATATGAGAAAGTTTTTAATTTTTTTTTCTTACAAGAAATTTTTATCATGTGTCTACAGCAAGAATACAAATAAAATTTAACTTCTTTTTTTTTTTTTTTTTTACTATTGGCTGTCTGTAAAATTGCTTAATCTTGGGATCTGACTTATATTTATCTTTTTACTAAAGTAATAAAAATTACAACATTATTCTCATTTTACTCCAATATGCGGAGGCACAGTGGAGTAATGGTTAGCCGCTTATATTGAGGAATCTGTTCGCAGAGTTCAAATTCCAGTCAAGCTTATTACATTCACTTATGTGCTAATACTCTTGGAAAAGGTATGAATCCATCTTTTCTCTCACCTCAGCTATAGGTAAAATAGTAGGACTAACTAGTTCGTATAGCTTTGGTTGGCAACCATCTAGGAGAAATTCTGAATTCAAGCCAGGTTCTGTAGGTTCTGCCTCTTTAGACATAGGCTAGAAAAAGGTAACTTCCAAAAAAAATACACCTTGCAAGTCATCACAAAGAAAGGAACAGACCACCCTCCCCTATTTTGAGTCACAACAGAAAATAATGAACTCCTTTGGCTTAGTAAAATGGTTCAAACACAAGACATGACTCCATAGACCTCTCTGATTTTGGATTATTCATCCATGGGTGTATCACCCACAGCTCTTTAGACAATAGCAACTCCCAATATACACATCAAAACATTCAAAATAAATGTGTTTTGAAGTATATATTAGCTGTATTCATTTTTATTTTACGATAATCTTAAACAAACTTCTAGTTACATTCTTTCTTCTTTTATGTACTGTGCCCCTTAAGGACATGGGCAATCATGGCTCTCCACAACCTTCTATCCTTTGTACTGCTGAGTAATGTTTGTCTCCTTACTAACCTTCCCAGTCCCTGTTCTGCCCTCCATTTACACAATCTCATTAAGTTGGTTATTTGCTGTTTCCATCTGCCTCTCTTTCTTTCAGTTTATCCTTTAAGTGTCAATCCTAATTAAATGTTTCTAGTTAAAATCCCAGAAATTAAAATAATCATTGTTACAGTACCTACTGATATAAAAATTATGCTATGGAAGCTTATATTTTCTCAGTACAATACTAATTGTGTACAAGGAAGGAGTTTTACTCTGGTTTAAAATAAGTTTACTTTTCATATCTGTGATTTTCAAATATTCATTTGGTATTGATCAGATAGACTCTTACTTGACCTTTAATAAAATCAGTGTTTCAGCAAACATCAGCAATAAGAGCTTTTATACCCATGGCAAAGTAAAATAATAATTATCACAGTTTAGTATATTTTTAAGATGCTAGAAAAGTTTAATATTCTGGAATGTATTGGATTTGCAACAAGGTTTATTCTGTTCTTATTGCTAGATGCTTTTTTTTTTTAAATGTCATATTTCTTCAGATTGTAAGAGATCACTGCTCTCTACAGCTTCCTTTTCTTTAATATGTGTAAATTGCTGTGACTTCTTGGGAATGATAATGTAGTGCCTTCTTCACAGTTTTGAAGTCAGTTGTCTTCTTCTAGACTGGCTGCCACTCAAGGCTAGAGAGTCCAGTCTACCCAACTTTTTAACCCATAACTGGTGGAAGAAGAAATAGTTCATGCCTTTATCAAGAACATTATTGCAAAATGAATTCAACAGACTTGACCAGAACTTTAATTTGGCTCACCAATTCTATTTTCTACACAAATAACTGTTACACTATATGCACATTGCTAGAGGGTATTATTTTTCTTTAAAAAAACAAAAAACAAATACTGAAAATGTTACTTATTTTCTTTCATCTTCAGTGTTAGAATAAGTAAATGAAAACACCAATTTTGACAAGAATTTTTTTTTTATTTCTGACTGATATGACAGTTGTCATAACATTAAAACAATTTTTGTTTAATGAAGTTAGTTTAAACTAAATATTCTTAATGTCATCTAACAACAAACACTTTTGCCAAATTCAATAATAGCATTAGATATTTTTATTGTACTAAACCATGTTTGATATAAAATTATAAGAGTTATAATACTTTCTTTTTAAGTTTTGAGCTGATTTCCAGTTTAAAGGTTTTTATAGTTCTGATTGGATTGTTTGACATGCTTCTCCAATATCGGAATCATTTTGCTGTAATGAAAGTTGTCATTGAAAGATTTGAGGTCATTATATTATTGCAGCAGGTGCATGTTGAAATCATATTGGGAAGTCACAAAACTGTTGCAACACTAATCCTAGTTAAACTAAAAGCAGTAAGCACAATATTTTGCATATAAATAACAGGTGTGAGGAAATGGAAGACAATTTCAACAAGGTGGTATTTTATATTTTTGTTTTTACATTACTTAGTAAAAAGAGAAAATACACTAGTATGCATGCAAAGAAAAAAAACATTACAAATTAGGAATTATGTGGATAATGTGTGTGAAAATGTTCAGTCACTAACAGAAAAGATATCCCCATGTCTGGTGGGGGAGGAAGAAGGTCTAGGGTGGTGTTGCTTAGAGGAAAAGAGAAAAACAGGAAGTGTGCCATTTATATGGCTGTTTGACAGCACCATCTAACGACTTCTTGACAAAACTAGCAAAGCAATGTGGGAGTAACCACAATACTTAAATGTTCTTAAGCAAGGCAAAATATTAACAACTAAAAGGAAAGCCTTTTGTCATTTGAATTTAAGCATTAAATTCAGAATTAAGATTAGACAAAAAGGTAAGAAAAAGTTATAGCGTGACTAGATATAAATAGATTAACATAATAAGGAAATACAAAGTTCTAATATGCAAGAAATATATCTACAGTAGAACAACACAATAGAGAAATTTAAGGAAGTCTATAAACTCACAGTATTATGCAAAAACAGGTTGGCTATGCAAACAGCAAAAATTATAAAATTCTTATACAGGCATTTCTTAAATGATAAAGTATAAAAAGGATATAACAATACAGAAATATAATTGCACCAAGTTCAACCTCATGTAAGGGGAGGAGAAGTATTCAACCAAGATAATTGTTCAAAAGTAAGCAGAATATACTTTGTGCATCTCTTTTTATATACACATGACAGCTGTAGTAAAGTGTACACATGTTACTTTGATTTTTGTCAATGGTAATAAATTTTTTTTCATTTTAATTTGTGTTTATATGAGCTTGCTATAAAGTCTATATAGATATCATTTTACACAATTCATTGGTTTATAGCCATATCAAATTGAAACATCAGTTCTTGTAAAATCACCAAGGTTAAACAATGTTGAGCTTGGTCAGTACCTAGATGAGTGACTGATTGTGAATACCAGGTGCTGTAAGCTTGGATGTGTGGGTGGTGTAAGTAATAACAGTTTGAAATTGGAAATCTGAGAGCAGAGATCCAATTCCATTCAAGTTTGTTATATTCACTTACACACAAATACCTTTTGGAAAGGTATGAATCCATCTCTTTTCCCCCTCAGCTATTGATTAATTAGTAGGACTTATATCAATAAATCAATATTATCTCCAGAAAAAATTCTTACAATCTAAAAATATTTTCTGGCTTTAAATAACTTTCAAAAGTTTAATAAACCATAAAAACAAATCAATCGATCAATCATTACATGTCATTATGTTTAGTATTTCTTTTGTGTAGGTTTTATTTCTCAGAAGACTAGAAATTACACAAAAGTTATTTAAATTGCTACATTGGTGTAAACACAGTAAAGGACATTCGTCCTGGTTATATTCCTGTTTGCATATATTTAATATTTCTTTCTCTTTTATTAAATAATAATAGTTATTTTGTTTTTATTTTGTAAGTTTATTCTTAGTGAATAATTTGTGTAGCATTTTCATCTAGTAAATGGGCAAATTCCATAGAATATCTACAGGAAAACAGTTCAGTCTTAGGGTTCATTGATAGCAAATTTAATTATCCTAAAGTATTTGAGTAATTGTCTTGTGCCAGTCTGGCTCAGCTCAAGCAAATAAATGCCACAGATATTATGGCAATTATGTATAATGTTAGTTCACTTTAGTTATGCTTATGAGTAGAAAACTAAGTGTTAATTAGAAGCCATTACATTCGTTTGAATGATGTAAGAAAATTACATAATTTGACAAAAGCTATGTTTGCTCTAAGTATAGAAGTTTGTTTAATATATATCGAACAAACATTGGATTACCATATGAAGGAGTGGGCATGTCAAATGTCCAAAGATTTACAAAATAATTTTTTAAAATTATTCGGGAATGAGATATTGTTTTGTGTAACCCAGAAATATTTTCTAAACCATAGTTTAAAAATCATATGTAGAAGAGGTTGGAAATAATAACTTATGCTTAGGTGTGTTGTTTTGAGTATTAAAAATACAACTGTAAATTTTTAAAAAATAATTAACAAAAAAGTTTACAGTTTTGGGTTTGAGACCTTTTACTTTTTGATAAAGTGTTCTGGCAAAGATGGTTTATGAACTTCTGCTTTGCATTTCACAGCCACAAATAGAAAATTATGACAGAACAAGTTTAGCCTATTAATTCTGCAATTCACAGTTGAATTGGTTGTCAAGTGACAATGCAGTCAGAGCAAATGTAGAGGTATCCCATGTAAAAATGATTTCAGCCTAACTCTTCCTGCTATGCTCTATCTTTACAAGCCTCAGATCAGACCAAAAATGAAGTACTACTGCCATATCTGGGCTGAAGCTGCCCAATCCTCACTATTCAGCCTTGATCAGAAACATCTTGTTGCAGCCTTGTGGATGATGAATTATTTCACACTGTATAATCCCTTTCCCACAGATGAAATATCACGGACCTCTTGCTACCCTATTTCCATGGCAAATTTCCTGATAAGCTACATTCCTGAGTTCCACCAGCCTTGACTATTGTAGCTAAGACCCACTATGCTATGTGCACAGGGATGAATCATCCCACATTCCTGTCATATTTCATTGGTGAGAAGAAAGGTCCATTTGGATAGCTTCTTCCCAAGAACTACTACTTTATGGAACAGACCCCTGAGAGGATGCTTCCCCAATCACCACAGTCTTAACCTTTTTAAGTCTAGGGTTTACTATTATCATTCCTACATATCCACTTAAACTGCACTTCTTACCTCTTCCTCTTACATGCAACAACTTCAATCAGTAACCCTCTAACTTGACTGTTTCATGAGCTTTGTATTGGGTGAACAATTAGTCAATTAGTAAAACAAAATATAGTCTTTTTTCATTTGTTTTGTTTTTATTTTATTTAGGCAATCATGGATCCCCACAGATTCCTTTTTCCTTTTTTAGTAGAAAAGCCATCACCACTTGAATGTAAGTTGTTCAATAGGTAGAACACAGCCAAAGCCTTTTATATCTAGTGATTGTTCAAAGTGTATAGGTATTCCAATGTGAGGATCTAAATAAAGGAACTGCTATATATTTACATCTAATTAACCTTATATTCTCTCACCTAGTTTTATAATATATATTCAATTATATTTTCACTGTTGCGCCAATAAGTATTATTTTTGCCTGACCTACATAAACAACTGTAGAAATGAATCCTTAAAAAAGTATACATACAAAGCATTTGTCTACCATCAGCCAAGTAAATGTAAATGAAGCCTGTGATGTTTCCTAATAAAGATTAATTAACCACAGATCATTGAAGACTGCAAATTCTATTTATTTTATGTATTTGGTTTTGCACATCCCAGGCCACTTTAGCATTTTTCTTGTATAATAAAATCTTTACTAAATATCAAATAATGAGCAGCATTTAAGGAACCAGATTAAAAAAAAAAAAATTAAATAGGCAATAAAATATATCTATATTTTTGTACATAATTTTTTTTTTTTTACAATTTTCAGTATTTTCAAAAGTAATGGATTTTTTTTTGTTTAATACCTGATGCAGTAAGCTTTGATGTGCAGTGAATAATGATTCAGAATTGGAAATTGGAGAACCAAGTTCCAATTCCAGTCATGTTTGTTATATTCACTTATGCCCAAATATCCTTGTGAAAGGTATGAATCCACCTCTTCTCCCACCAGCTATGGGTCAATTAGTAGGACTTGTATCAGTAAATCATTATGATCTCCAAAAAATTCTTACAATCTAAATATATTTTCTAGCTTTAAATAATCTTCAAAAAACAAAACAATCAATTAACAAAGTAAAATCACAGGAAATATCTAAATTATTTGGATAAGTGGAAATTGATGAATAGACAATTATTCACTTGATCATCCCTTTAAAATTTGCTGCTTATGCCAGGATATCTCTACTAGGTTTATTTTTTTTTTTTTTTTTTTTTTTTTTTTAGAACAAATACATCAAACTTTCATCTATTTTAATGTGATACATGTATAGTGACATGGCAATTCTTGCAAGCAGGGGAAAAAAGAAAAAAATGAAACTATACTTTTATTTAAGTACCTGTTGCATTTGAACCTGGTCTAGATTTATTTGGGAAAGATATTAGAATAATCTGTAATATTTACTGGGAATGAACCACATACAGAAAACAGTTGAGCAAGTATATAAAAATAGGTATAAGACAAGGATGTGTCTTTTCGCCAGATTTATTCATCCTTTGCAGCCAAGGTGATCCTAAGACTACAGTGGATGAAATCCTAACATCATAAGATATGCAAATAACACTGTGTTGATGGAAAGAATATAAAAAATTCAAGAACTACTAGATAAAGTAGTAAAGGTGCAGAAAGGACTAACTTTAAGAAGACAATATATGTTTGTTAACAAGAGGAACAGCACAATATATGAATTAGTGAAAGATGGCTTCCAGAAGCTAAAAGTATTAAAAGACAGAAAAATTTTATTAGAATTAAAGAAAAGAATGCTGAACTGCTGTGTAACACCCATCTTATTATATGGGAGTGAATTCTGTACAATTTCCTCACAGATGACAAGAGACTTGAAGCAGCAGAAATGTGGTTCTACAGAAGGATGCTGTGAATACTATGTATTGCATATAAGGGCAACAAATAAGTTTTAAGGAAAATAAGAATAAAAAGGACACATATACTTATTTTTTTTTTCTACAATGAATAATACTAAATTTGTTGCAAAGTATTTGTATTTTCCTGTTATCAATTTTTCATCAATATACTTTTTTTTCCTACAGATGATTCTCCAAGATAATCAATTCCAGTCTACCATGGAAAGTGAAAGTGAAGAAAAACGGCTTCCTTTTCAAATATTGAGGACAATTTATACTTCACCAAATTTGCAGGAAGATGCACAGATAGAAATTATCAAGGTATAACTTTTCTTTATTTTCATATACCATCCCTTATTACTAAAGATAATGGAACCATAATTATTGCTTGTATTTTAAACTCTTGTGTATAATTTTATAGTTCATAGAAATACACTTGCTAATCTTTTAAGCATTTCAATGCTGTTTTTATGGTGCCTGTTTTTTTTTGTTTTTTTTTAATTTTTAAATTATTATTAAATTAGAAGTAATAATGTTCAATATTTATTGAAGACCAACTCGGTTCCATGATTATTCAATCGCTCATCAGAACTCTCAACAAGAATGATTGCATTGATCACAGAAAATCTATTTTATAAACATACATTTATATACACTTTTCAAATTTAAATTTTACATTCAAAACTAAACTTCATGAGCTCTCTACAATATATATATATATATATATATATAAAATATTTTTGAAAAGGCTTTTTATCTGATATTATTTCTTATTATAAACGTTAATTACAGTGAGTACACGTGTTTGAGTTGCTACCTCTGTTTTTTATTTTCTTAAACAGTGAAATTAATAACAACTAGCCTAAAATGAGAAGCCCTACTAAAGAAAAGTTGGGTCTTCGACAATAATCTATCTTTAGTAGGACTTCTAAATTAAAGTCGATTTTTATTAATTTCACTGATTAAAATAAAAATCAGGAATAGAAATAATGTTAGATTAAAAATCCTGTAAAAAAAATTATCATTGTTTTCATTTCAGTTATGAAACTGAAGCTAGCATATGAATTCCAATGAGAAATGTGTTTTTGCTTAAATAGGTAATTCAAAACTTGCAGTCAGTCTGTCAGTGTGTCTCTGTGACCAAACTGATAGCAACATGCTTTGGCTAAAAAGTAGTTTCCCTTATAGGGAAAAAAAAAAAAAAAGGTATGCAGATTTTAATTCCTGTTAGAGGCACAATTTTTCTTCAGTAGGATCGGTTGTTATTAATCACTCAGTAAGAAAATAAAAAAAACAAGGATAGCAATTCAAACATGTATGCCCACTAAAAATAACATTTATACTAATTAGAAATAATGTTGGATCTGAAAGTATATCTTGAAGATTTTGTCAACATTAATTAATTAATACCAATTTTAGTGTTGAAATATTTACTTGCATAATACAATCTGATAGTCTGTGTGTGTGTGTGTGTGTGTACACACACAAATGATTGGTTTCAATATTTTGAATACATTTTTACCTAAGAACATTTAGTTGTATGTTAAAAAGTTTTTTTTGTTTTTATTTAAAGGAATTGCATCCTTTAGATTCAATTAAAATTATATCTATAACAGTTTTAAAATCAAAGTTTATGAAAAGTTTAATTATTTGTGATCAGCTAATATTTTTGTATCACATTAATCTGATTAATTTTCACTTTAATTTTTTTTATCATCAAATTATTTTTAAAATGTCATTTTCCTTTTCTTTTCAGTTGCTTTTAAACATGTCTTTATCATCTGCTTGGTGTGTTAATTCTAAAGTGATTGCTGAAATCTCACAGGTTAGAAGTTTTATCTATTTTGTTTTATAAAGTTATTAAAAAAATCATTAGATACGCAGATAGTGGTTTAGAAATCTGTCTGATCTAAGAACTTTTCATCATTTTGTTTAAACAAACTGATATTTCTGTCAATAAATGTATTTTTCAAGATGTAGAACTAAAGAACATTCCTTTAATTAAAGAAGCTCAAAGATTTCATTTGAATTGTATTACAAAACAAGGTTACTAAATTGGGTTACTTTTTTTTTGAAAGCCCAGTACAACTAAATCTTGAATTTTGCTGCTTGTATATTTGTAGTTTTTTTTTTTTTTTTTTTAAATAATCTGTTCTAACTGGGCTACATTCAAATGTAACCCATTTTGCTACTTGTAGTCTAGTCTGGCCACCCACTTACTACAAGCAACTATTTTGTGGCTGAGAAAGTTTATCTAAATAAGAAAAATTACTGACTTCACTGTTTCTTTACACTTAAATGAAATTAAAAAAATAAATTTTACAATAGCAGCAATTGCAATTCCTGGTTCCAGTGTGTGTTTATCCTTTTGCATATATATTATTGTCTAAGTTTCTTAGTCAAAACAATTTTGAAGAATTGAATTACATTTTTTGAAAAGTTGATAAAATATAGGCAGCTGACTTATCCGGCAGAAAATATTTATATTTATTGTTTTTATAACTCAAACTAGTTTTCTTTTAAAGTATAAATATGGTAGGTATATGCTTTTTTTTTGTTGCTGTTCACTCTATACAAAGCCCAAGAGCCACTCAAGGTAGAGGATTACTGAATGAGGTTGTTGTATGAGCAATAAGATTTAAGAAGCGCAGTTTATGAGAAGGGAGGAAGATAATGGTTAAACCTAGATTTGAAGAGGTTAAGATTGAAGTGGTTGGCGAAAGCATCCTCTTAGGTGTATATGCTGTTTTTGGAGAATGTAGAAAAATTCCTTTCTTCCTTTCTTCCTTTCTTCCTTTCTTCCTTTCTACCTTTCTTCCTTTCTTCCTTTCCTTCCTTTCTACCTTTCCTTCCTTTCTACCTTTCCTTCCTTTCTACCTTTCCTTCCTTTCTACCTTTCCTTCCTTTCTACCTTTCCTTCCTTTCTACCTTTCCTTCCTTTCTACCTTTCTTCCTTTCCTTCCTTCCTTCCTTCCAATTATTTTTCTTTTTTTATCTATCTTAAAGTTAATAACTCTAAAAAATCTCAAATATTAAAATCCCTATTTTAGCGATCAACCATGACTCTTGTTTATTAGTCATTCATCTATAAATATGTCTTTTGAGTTTTTTCATCCTATGTCTTAAAATTGAAAGATAAAGTTTATTAGAACTATTCTCAACATTTCATTCCTTTTCCTTTGCTCTTACTTAATGTCTGTTCACCTCTGTGCTAGGTATTTGCACATATTCACAATATGGTTACTTTTTTATATTAGCTAGGAAACAAAGTTCCCACAAAGTTTGTATATCATTAATAAAAGTTGTGCAGGAACTTTATTTCCAACCCAATAGTTAACCAAAAATATATTTCAGACATGCATCTATAATGTATTTCTGAAAAAATGTATCTTTCTAATGAAGAATGTAACTTTTTATGTTTGTTTCTCTATCAGTAACAAAAGAATCACTTATCAGCTAATATTTAGCAACCTGGTTGCTAAAATATAACTATAATATTTTATATTATATTTTAAAATGTAAATATTTAAGTTGCTACAACTGAATAATTGGAGAATCCAAATCCTTTGTTATGGTAACGTAAGACATACTTGGCATCACTCAAAATAAGTAATCATCATATTACCATAATGAAGTTTTAAATTAAAAAAATAACAGCATTTTTATAAAGATTCAAATATATCTCTGAATTTTTTCATAGGTGATAACTTCTATTATGGTAGGTATATGCTTTTGTGAAAATCCTTATTTTAGTGAACAAAATTAGCAAGATCAACCATGACTCTTGTTCTAGATTTGTGATCAGCTAATATTTTTGTTGGTCCTATGTATGGTATTTTACTGTTAGCTTCTTAGATCAATTTATCAATTTCTGCGCCTCATCAGAAATGTTAGCTTAGTAATTAGCTACTTCAATAATAACATTTATTAAAACAAAATTAACAAAAGGAAAGTTTAAAACAAGAATTTCTTTTGTTAGAAGTAAATTGCATACACAATGAAATGTTCATAAATTTGTTATAGTGGAACTTACTGTGTTGGCTTGTTTTAGCTTCAGCGTAGAAAGTTCATATCACACAATTTGAAAAAGGAAAACCCGGAGAAGTTTCTTTGGGATTCATGTGTTTGATTTGCTGCTGATCAGTTTTATTTAGAGCTGCTACTGTTACTATCTTTAGTGTCACTACAGTACCCCTTTTCAAGCAAGATGAGTGTACAAGAATGTCAAGAAAGAGAATTTTTATTATGTTAGGTAAGAACACAGTTTCTTAGACCATCTAATATGATGACTGCTCTTTGAAGTTCTAGGTTGTGTCTGCTTGGTAGTTTCTAATGAATCATCACCAATATTTTTTTAATGTGCCAGTTATAGTCGGTTAATGGAAATATTCTCTTCTCTATTATTAATCACAACTGTGAAATGTTTCTCTGCATGATTTACTACCCTATAAGGATCTCTGTAATCTGGTTGTAAGGGATATTTGGTTGCATGGTATTTTACTACCACAAAGTTGCAGTTTCTGAGAGATTCTGGCACATATGTTACACAGGTTGGTTGTCTAAGAGATGTGGATTTTATTTGAGACATCTTCAATCTCTACATATCTACAAAAGAAGCAGGATCCAAGAGTGTTTTATTTGGTTTGATTATTAACTCTCCTAGTAGACATAAAGGTGTGCTATATATGAGTTTGGCTGCAGAACTCTGTGAATCAGATTTTACAGCTGTTCTTAGCCCTAAAAGTATTAATGGAATATTCGGAAGCCAAGAAGTATAGTTCTGTACTGTTTTTAGGGATTCCTTCAGAGAACAATGAAAACGTTCTATCATGCTGTTAGCTTCAGGATGGTAAGCAATTGTATGAATTCTAGTGATACCAAGTAGATTGGTTAGAGAAGCAAAGAGTGAGGATTCAAATTGTGCTCCTCCCTCTATGGTGATGGTAGTGCAAACACCAAATAAAAAACACCGTGCAACAGATTTTACACTGATATCAGTAAGAGGAATTATTTCAGGGTCAGTGGTTGTATCTATCAATGCAGTTGAGGAGATTGTAATATTTATACCAGGGTGAGAATGGTCCAGTGATGTTGATATGAACATGGTCAAATCGAGTATCAGGAACAGGGGGGGATGTAGGAGCTGATTTACTATTTTGGCTTTTTGACACAGAACACAATTATGTGTCCAATCCCTCATATCATTGTTGATTCTAGGCCAGATATAATTCTTACTAATTAACCTATAAGTTGCTTTTATGCCTGGATGTGATATTGAGTGTAGAGTGTCAAATAGTTTTCTATAGAGAGTTTTCAGAATAAAAGTCCGCAAATTTCCTGTAGAAATGTTGCACCAAATAGAATGTTTCACTTGTGGAATATATATTTCCTTCATTTGTAATGAAGAATTATTGTCCTCTAGAAGACATTTTAGATCTTCCTCATCTTTTTGGGAAGTTTCAATAGTTTCAAAATCAATGCCTGGAGTTATATTAATTGCAGAAATATTTCTGAAGAGTATGTTTGCTAGAATGTTTGCAGAGACTTTGATATGTTGAATATCAGTTGTGAAATGATGAAATGGAGGCACCTAAGTTCCTCAAAGAGAATATTTATCCAATTTTGCCTTGATTGCTCCAATTAAAGATTTATGGTCTGTGAGCATGTGAAAAGACCTGCCTTCCAAGAAATGCCGGAAGTATCAGATAGCACAGTATATTGTCATTAAATTTCATCCAAAAGTAGTGGTTTCTGATAATTTCTTTAAAAAAAAAAAAGGCATGGATAACCATTCATCTCATTTGTTGTTGTTGTTAGACTGCTACAATGGCAAAACATGAGACATCTACTGCCAAGGATAACATGATTAGGAAAAGTGACGTTACTAACATTAGCTAATTTTTCCTTTGCCATATTAAATGCTGACAACTTTTGAAAAAGATTTATATCACAGTTCTTTTGTCCTTGAAGAACATCTGTCAATGGGGAAACTATTTTCATCAAATTGGGGATAAATTTCCTATAAGAATTCACCATGCCAAGTCAACAAGGTTGTGAGAAGACAGGTGGACCAGTCGTTTCAATGCAGTGTGAGATGTCATGTTTTCTCACAGGTGTGTTGAATTTTGGTTCAGTTATGTCTTGGCAATTGGACAATATTTCCAAAAATTTGGAATTTTCTTCTGATGATGCAACCTTGGGACTAAGAAGTGTTGCAGACTTTAGGCAGCCAATAGATTTGACATCAGTCTTTGTGTCAATCAATTGTTGCTTTTTAATATCAATTAACAGACTATAAAAGTCTGCACCCAAAATTGGTGTAGTGATTTTGGCCACAATGAAAGTCCATTGGAAATCACATTGTAGCAACAAATTAAGTGTCATGCATTTATGTCCATATATGTGGTTAATTAAGGAGTTGTGCATTTTGTACTCCTGTCACTGAATCTCTTGTAGTAAAAGATATCACTCCTTCCTTTTGACTTATTCTTTTATCATTATCTGCTTCTCGATGAACTGCAATGCTAGTGTCTTTGTAATTGTTAAATTTTTTTAGTCAAATCACTGATTTGCCTTTTCAACAACTTATTTTCCTCCTGTATTTGGGTGATGTCATCACTCGTCTGTACATTTGCAACTAGCTTGTCTTGGGTCATGACTTCCATCAATTTATCAGTTGTATCGTTCAGCTTATTTATAGGCACATTGTTTCCCATTGCCATTAAGGATACCTCCACCATTTGTAGCAGCTTTTCTATAAATATGTGTTGTAAAACACTATCATCCAACATATTGCTGGACAGTGTCTGTAAATGACACAAAAGTTGAGATGGTTTTCTATCTCCCAATGTTTCCATTTCCAATAATTGTTGCAGCCTCCTCCTCTCAGATAATGAAGTTTGGAATATTAACTCCTCTTTTAATTTGTCATATGAGTTGGTTTGTGGTGGGTTTATCAGGAGATCCTGTAGACACATGGCTGTTTCTTGAGGTAATGTAGAAACTATGCAAACAAATTTTTCTTCTTGTGATGAAATATTTTTCATAAAAAAAACTGTTTTCAGATGGATAAAAAACAATACTGGGTCATTGTTAGAGAATACAGGTATGTTTTCAAAGGCAGTGGCTAATTTGGGTTCCTACATTTTTTTTGTTGTGTAACATTTTTTTTTTTTTTTTTTTTATAGCAATTTTATGAATTTTATAAAAATAAATGCATATGCAGTATTAAAAGATTGTAGCACATAATAAATAAGTAAATATTCTTTTACTCACCACTTTATGATATAGAATATTATTTTAGAAAAATATTCTGAGAAAAATTTTCAGTGGAAAACAATATATAACACGATAAGGAGATTTAGAATAAGGAAGAGACGTTGCTTATTTCGGAAAAATAAATTTATTTCTTTCCTTATTTATTTATTAACTTGAGATAATTTATTATTTACCTCAACCACTGCCTTGCTGAAAAAATTAAATAATTTAGTAGGATTAGTCTGAATAGGAGTAATCAGGTCAACAGGAAGAAAATGGTGAAAATGAGATGGGGGTCTCTTGGTCAATCAGTGTCAATGTTATTCCCATTATTTCATGACTTTCTAAGAAATTTTGTGAAAGAGAAAAATATATTTATTTAACTGTTATTATGGCTCACAGTTAGTTTATAAAATGTTTTATTATAAAATATTGTTAATTCAAAGTCCAGTTTCATGAAAGATTTTTTTGTTTTTCTCCAAAAATTACTAATTTTGTATGAAAAAGATTTCAAAAAGGAAAATATCTGTAGTTAGTGTAATACTTACAGAGCATAGGACAATTTTATTTATTTCAAAGAAAAATCTATTTAAATTAAAACTTGTGAAACCTTACTAGTGTGAACTTTAAATGCACTATTCTTTTATAGAAAAAAATAACTTTTTTTTTTTTTTTTTTTTTTTTTAGCATAAAAGCTTTTTTTTTGTCCAATTGATTTGCAATGCAAAATAACATTTATTAAAACAAAATTAACAAAAGGAAAGTTTAAAACAAGAGTTTCTTTTGTTAGAAGTAAATTGCATACACAATGAAATGTTCATGAATGTGTTATAGTGGAATTTAGTGTGTTTTTAGTGTGAAGCATTCACAGCCCTTTCACTTTCAATGTAGAAATTTCATATCACACAGTTTGAAAGGGAAAAACCCAGAGAAGAAAGTTTCTTCAGGGTTCACATGTTTTTTATATTCATGAGCTGTTGCTGATAAGTTTTATTTAGAGCTGCTACTGCTATCTTTAATGTCACTACATTAGTAAAGATTATAAAAGAGGAGTCACGATGAAATGCTGAAGAGTATCCCTCTCCAACTCTGCAGGTAAAAAAAAAATGACTATTGAGATAAACCAGCTGGCCCATGTTAGAATTAAAAAATAACAAAATTCCTTTATTGGATTTCAGCTTATATCCTAATCTATCTACTATTCTGCCTTGATTGATTGGGGTCAAGAATTCAGCTGACTCTGGCTGATTGTGACAAGAGCGCAACATTACCAAATCACTTCCTTTGATGCTTTTACTATGCACTTATGCAAATCAGACTTGTAACAGCTAAAAGAAATGTATTCCTCATAAATATAGATGGACCTGCCACTAATAGAATGCAGTGAGTCAAGTAGTTAACAGATAGTATCTATCAACTACTTGACTCTCTGCATTCTGCTACATTCTGGGAAGAATTTTGTCAAGTTTTTGTTTGTAAAGTGGAAATGTTAGACCAGGTTTTTGAGATCAACATTGTTTGCAGGCCTGGGACCAAAATTCCTTGTTTGAATTGTTGAAACAATGACCAGCAACCATTCCAAGACAGTGTTGTTATTTTTGTGATATATTTAAAAATTGGAAAGGGTTAAACTGATAACTTTAACCCTTGACAAATAAGATCTGTGTTATTGGAGGCATGGTGGAGTAATTGGTAGCGGCTCTGATTGAGAAATCAGAGAGCAGAGTTCAAATTCCTGTCAAATCCATTACATTCACTTACGTGCTAATACCCTTGGGAAAGGTATAAATCCTCATCTTTTCCCCCAGCTGTGGGTAAATAGCAGGACAGACTGGGTTCTATAGCCTTGGATGACAACTGGTCTACTGCAGAAAGAAATGACAACCTACTGCAGAGGGAAAAAAATCTGCCTTGTTGGTCATATATCGAAAGATACATGATCGCCTAAGCGTGTATCACACATGGCATGTAATTGACTGACTGTTATTGTTTTACAAGTCGGTCTGTTGTTAGTTCTGAAAATTTATTCATTCCTTATCTTACTTGTAACTCACCCCCCCCTTTGTTCCTGAGACTGTTTCGCCTAACTTCTCCTAAGACTTCTTTAGATTCAAAACTTAAATATGGAGAGGGAAAATCAACTGGTAGAGTGAAACACCAGACAGTGGCCCCAAGTAGGCAGTTGTGTTATAAATTAATTTTTGCTTTCGCTTTTCTTTTCTCTTTGATAACTCAATATTTTACATAATATATTTAAAACTTTAAATCTTCTCTCAGCACAGGGAGAAATGGGTTCATGCCATTCACAACATTATTAATACAAAGTGAATGCACAAACTTCACCAGAACTTGAATTCAGCTTACTGATTCAATGTTTGCTGCAATGAATTCTTATACAAGCTGCACATCCATGGCTAAAAGTACTTGTTCTAAAAGGTTATTAATAAGCAAGAGATGAGATACGTTATTTTGCTAAGGACTTTTGATACATGGGTTTTATTGTGCATTATTTATCAATACATTATAGTATTTTTAAGTAGCCAGCTGTCAGCAATCACAGGCATTCAAGAAGTGTCAGTTGCATATATGCTTGCTTATATAGTCAACCAATATATGAATGAGAGCAATATGCAAGTTTTTCACATGCTATACAAATTCTGAATATGAAATACTCAAGAAATTAGCCGTTAAATAACTTTATCTGCAATTTATCATACTCACAGCTGCTCATTGATTAAATCTAACCAGCTGTTAATCTTTATACAAACATATAACATGTATTTTTATTACTTCAAATGTTATTTTTAGTGGATACCCATATTTTAAATAGATGCACCATTTTTATTTCAAACAGTATGTCTTTGTAAGATGTATAATAGTATCCAAGACAAAAGTGAAGATTATGAGACAAAGTGGAAAATTTTATTTATGACTCATTTTGCCAGAGAAACCTATGCACTCTTTGACTTCTTCAGGTTAAAATGAAAGAAAGCCAAAACTGTAAGAAAAATGCCTTCTGATCTCTATGGATAAGTGAGTATCATAAATCAAATGAATTACCTATCTCATCTCCTCCTAATGTCCAGACTTAGAGTATCTGTCCACTTGTGTGTGTGTGTGTTTTTTTTTGTTTTTGTTTTTTTTATCTATATCTGTATTAGAGCCATTAGAAGTTCTGATACCTGGGTTTTTATTATGCATTATTTAAACAGTGTGCATTGCATCTATCTTCCTGCATACTCAAGTAATCTTAATAAAGAAAATGTGTTCTCTGGATAACATTTAAAGTAATAAAAATATCACATTAAAAATAAATGCATTAATTCTTTAGAAAGTACTTTGTTTACGTTTTGGAAACAAAACTGAACAAATATGTGCTTTTGAGATAAATAATCTAAATGAGGAAATGTGCTTTCCTTAAAATGAAAAATAGAACCTTTTTGCTCTCTGTGGCTGAATGGTCTATGGCATGACAAATCAAACAGTTGTTTCAACTACAAAGGTGTCATGGGGCATGTAAAAAACCTGGCTGGAAAGCACATTTTAAGATTTCTCAAGTGTGCATGCTGATAGATGGAATACGCACTGTTTAAAATAAAAATGGTGCCTCTATTTCAAATATGGGTGTCCACTAAAAACAATGAAGTAATAAAAATGTCAGATTAATATTAATTCCATTGTGTATGTATGTATGAATGAATGAATATTAAAGTTTCATGATGTCCTTTCATGACATTTTTAGAAAAGGAATGTTGTCTATCCATGTATATATTAGCAAGCCAAACTCATATTCTGGGCTCATCTGTTGGGTTCTCTTTGAATTAATAATGTTATGGCAATTCTCTTTGTATTAATAATGTTATGGAAATTCTTGGATAATAAATGAAAAGAATCTGTGAAATGTAGAGAGCCACAATTGTCGATATCTTGAAGGGATATGGCGCAAAAATGTGAAGGAAATATGTTTGATTTTTTTTTTTTTTTTTTCTTAACTAAATTTTATTTGGAGTTAAACTTTCAAGTAACTTTTGGATGTTTTGAATTATGACATATTTGAATGACAATATTTGTAGTAATTTTTGCTTATTTACCAGTTGTTATTGGAAAGTATATTATTGTATGATTATTGGAAGAAAAATCAATCATGAAAGTCAATACTTATCAGAGGCAAAAATTACTAAAAATTTTGGCATATAAATGTTTATTACTTACTTTTTCTTACCTACATCAACTTTTTTGTCTCTACTGAACAAAATTGATTTAATTACATTTTTTAAAGAAATCACGAATAACAAGTTACTATATTATTGCATTATATCCTTTTTTAATATATTCTAATTGAAATTTATTGTCAACATCAATGTTTTTAATCTTTTACAGATCTTATTTGTTAGTACTTTATAACTTGTTTTTAATGTTTTTGTCCTTTCTTTTATACTATTTAAGTTGAATTTTAACTTTATTTAGAAGAAAAAATGGTTCTATGAAGTTATTTTGTGCCATGATGATTTTTTTTGTTTATTTTAATTCTCTTGATGTCATTTCAAACAGTTTTTTTTTTTTTCTCTCTCAAAACAGGACATGGAATGAATGATATAGTTAAAAGCAGAAATCATTTTCCAAAGTTATGTTTTCTATCACTTGAAACTGTGTGGTATGTTCTATATTAATCTAGGTGTACATCAATGTCTACATTGGTGGTACGCTGAGTGTGCAGACTGCAGTGAAGGCAACCATCACTCAAATGCTCAGCAGTTTCACCAAAAAATTACAAGAAGTAAACAACAGTGGAGAGCTTGGGGTATGTTGTCCTTATCACTGTCACAGGATTGGACTCGGTGGTAGCAAAGTTCAGATTTGCTGCTTTACTGGTTTTTTTTTCAATTCTGTTGGCTGTGATGCAGCTGCATGCATTAATGTTGTTGCTGTGACATTTTGTCCCAGCATGCTTCACTAACAATCGATGCCTCTGTCTGCTTCTGTCAATAATCGTTTCATTATTACAAACTTTTTTTTTATTTTAAATTGACCAAATATTGCTAAACATTGCTGTTGTATATAATTTCTTTGATGTGTGTATTTGTAGAATGTAAAAAAGCACATTGCAATTTATAGTTATAGTTCTTTATACATAGAAAACAAAAAAAATAATTCCTATATTATATATATTAGGTTGTTAGATAAATTTTTTTTTTTTTTTTTTTTTTTTTTTTTTTTTTTAATCCTATTATTCACCAACAATTTTAACAAATCAATCAATAATCTAAACCAATAAAAACATTGTAGAAGTAGAATAGTTACTAAAAAACATGAAATACTACAGTAAAAATATTTTGCATGTTACTTCTAATATCAGGAAAAAAATGAAGAAATTTACTTGACAACCCAATAGATAAAATAGATGCACTGAATTGTTTTTATTTATTATTTATTTTGGCTGTTTTTCATATTTTGTATATAAACACAATTATTTTGTTTCATTTCGTTAATGCATTTAAATTGTTTAGTTTTAGCATGTTTGCTTGTCTTTTTTTTTATCTGTTTTAAGGTTTTGAAATTAAATTTATGTTTAAAGTTGATTTGTTGGTATAGGACATTACTAGGATTCATTGTATTTAATTTTATCAGGACTAATTTTTTTCATTTTCTATATTTTGGCGATATTATACCCTCTGGTCTTTGAGGGGTATCTGTTGGGTTTGAGAATTTTATTGTGGATAAGCATATGCATTCTCTTCTTGACACACCTCACAACCAGATTTTGTATTCTTGAGAATGTAATCTCTGCTGTTCTCCCATTGAGCTTTTCACACATTATCTTTGGGGGACATGCCTTTGGAATTCCAAGTTCATTGCTGGGAGGTTACAGATGAAATATGACAAGAAATTTCATCAAAAGAAAACTACAAACAACAAAACATCTTGTTGAGCAAAATTCAGAAGTAACTAAGAATATTTAGGATAATTAAAAAACCATTTGTATTAAAATTATAAACTGAAACAATGTCTTATTCTGTGTTAAAAGAAAATTTGAAATCTAATGTAGTTATATCTGCTTGTACTATTTTTCTAAATGTGAAATTTGTTTCATTTGTTAGAAACAAATATAAAGTTATTTTTTAATCTTTTTATAGTCATCTCAGTTGGTATAAAGGGGAAGTATACAAAAAAGATGAACTCTTGCTAAATATTGTTTAGCTACTTCCCCAATGTTATTATTATTGATTTTATGCATCACAAACAGTGAGAGGTCATATGATCTAAGATTATATATAGGGCATAACAAAGTATTCAAGACATATTCGATTACCTGCATTTAGTTCTAGAGAGGGACATATTTGTAAGTAGTTAGTATAAAAACAGTTTGATGTGTTGTCATATTTGCCAAATTGAATTACATCAGGTACAAGAGGATTAGTATTTGTTTGAAAAACATCAAATGTACAATAAATATTATTTAAATAATTAAATTATAAAAGTATTGCAGAGGAGATTTGGTGTGTATCACTCACAAGCTTTATGGTTGCATATTTTTAATGTTAACTGTCTGATCATGAAGAAAGATTATTACAAGTCCCAGGTTAAATACAGTCACCTTTTTGTGGAAAACAAATTTTAAAACAACCTTTACTTTTGAATTCTAGAGTAATGTTAAATCATACTAAGCTATTATGTTTTACAAAATTATGCCAAGCAGTGTAATTTTGTTTATAAAATTGGTTGCAGTTCCGAAAAATATCCTTATTAAACATTTGCAGTATTTTTTTATTTTTTTTTAACCAATAATCAACTCTGTTGAACATGCATATAGTGTAACCATTATTGCTGTAGAAAATGGAATCTGCAAACCAAGCTAAAATTCTGACAGTCTGATCAGTTCACGTTGCATTAACATCCTTGAAGGCTTGAATCAATCTCTTCTCATTTATGGTTTAAACAGCAGGAAGAACTGGGCTCTTGAGCTTCAGATGGTAGCCAGTCTAGGAGCAGGTCTACTCTAAATTCAAAACAGTGAAGAAGTTGATGGGGAAAATTCTCCACTATATTTATCAAGATTGTTTTTTTTATGTCTTATCAACTGGATTATTTAAAACCAAAACATATTGTAAGAATAATTCTCTTTCTTTTTTCTCTCTCTTTTCTCTCTTTTCTTTTCTCTTTTTTTTTTCTCTTTTTTTTTCTTTTTTTTCTCCTCTTTTTTCTCTTTTTTTTTCTCTTTTTTTTTTCTCTTTTTTTTTTCTCTCGTTTTTTTTCTCTCGTTTTTTCTCTTTTTCCTCTTTTATTGCTTTTTCTTTTTTCCTTTTTCTTTTTTCCCTTTTTTCTTTTTCCTTTTCTTTTTAATCTGCCTTTTTTCTTTTTTTTCGCCTTTTTCTTTCTTTTTTTTTCGCCTTTTTCTTTACCTTTTTTTTCTTCTTTTTTTTACCTTTTTTTTTCTTCTTTTTTTTCTTCTTTTTTTTCTTCTTTTTTTTACCTTTTTTTTCTTCTTTTTTTTACCTTTTTTTTCTTCTTTTTTTTACCTTTTTTTTTTTAAAGATCCAATTTCTACTATTTAACCTAGCCTTATAGCTGGGGGTATTTCTCAAGAACACTCATGCCAATTCATAGATAATGAAGTAAAAGGAACCTGTAGTTAGCTATGACTACTTATATCCCATAGGGTCTTGGTATACAAACATTGAATTTATAGATAACATATTACTCATCAAAGCTAATTTATATATACACATATGTAAAGCACATATAATTTTTGTGTGTGTGGAAACTTTCTTCACAATGTGCATAGATACTACACTCTAAGGTTGAGGATCTTTGATCCTAAGTAGAGTTCACAAATAATCTCAACATAAGAAGTGCCATTTGATATGTAAATAATCTTATCACTTTTTTTTATGAGTACTGTACCAGTATATATATTGAGTGTTACACATTAAAGCATACTTTAAGTTATTTTCTAGAACATTTCTCCCTATAAACATAAAATTTGTTTAGGGTTTGTTTTCCAAAATATATAGAGCCAAATATTGATTTCTGTGCTATAAGTGTGGGCTGGGTACACCATTAACTTTTAATTGATGCAGACTTATTTGAATTAGTTTGATAACAAATGAGTAGCTGTACACAAAGAATGAAAGTTAGAGGATGTGATCATTGATCAGTAATAGTCACCTTAAAAATTATTAATTTTTACATATCTTGTAAAACCAATCATTACTGCTTGATAGGTTAATTTAAAGAAAAATTGATATCTGATAAAGATCTATGAAAATATGGTCTTCATCTTCAAAGATAAATGTAAGATTTTTACAGCTAAATTATACCATTGATATATTGATATAATTGATATAATATTGTATATTGATACATTGATATAATTTCAGATGCTTTTTTTTATTTCTATCTGTTATTCTGTTTAATTTGAAGGGTATATTTAAAAAAAAAAAAAAAAAAAAAACCTTTATATCTTGAGCCAATTCTCAAAATTCTTTTTGACAATCTCATTTTGAAATTGGGCCATCAAACATCATCTGATAATTATTTCTCTTGAGCAAGCGCTAAAAATAATTGAAATCAAAACAATTGAACTTAAAAAATGCACATTAATGTTTTTATGTTAGAAAAGTGCTCAGTTCGAAATCCATAGTTTTTATTTTTTTAAATATTTCAATTATCTCAAGAACATATAACTTTTTTATATTATCAAAAGTTTTTTTTTGTTTTTGTTTTTTTTCTTTCTTTTTTTTGTAACAAAATTTAGCTAAAAATGTATTTTCATAAATTCTTGAAGTATATTTGTATTTATTCTTTTTTGATTTATTACTAATTGTGAAAAAACTTTAAAGCATTCTATAACTTGTATAATTTTTTTCAGTTTAATCCTTTCAGTATTCTGTTGTAATTAAAGCACTGTAAAAAATTTTTAACTGTCCTTTTTAATATGTATATCATTAGAAAATAACATGAACACACCTTTGACAGATACTAAATATAAAATTCAGATTACATACAGTAAAAGTAGGTACCTCCAAGAGCATAGCATGATGAAAAAGACACCAAACTTGACGAAAACAAAATTTTATCGTTTAATTGTTTGTTATTATTAAGAGGAAAAATCAAAGTATTTTGGGGGTATTTTTTTTACATTTTTTAATCATTCTTAGCACGTCCAAAATTTTCGTTAAATATCTTCTTTTTTTTTTGAGTCAGCAAAGTTGACCATTTTCTTCCATTTTATAAAAAAAACTGGAAATCTCACTTTGAAATTTTTTTAAATAACAATTATCATTTTTTCAAATCTTATTTTAAGAAAATCAGAAATTATATTATAATGTTTATTTAAAATATTTTGAACCAAGCTTAACTTCTGCAATGAAAAGATGTAATTTGAAAATAAAACAAAGCAGGTCATAAACTTTCACGTCACTTGACAGGTGATGAATGGCGTATTGACGGATTTACGTGATCATACTTTGTTCTACGGAAGCCGAAAAGTGAAGTCATTTAGACTTAAGTGAACAAATTATTTACCTTGTTATTTTTAAGGAAAACTTTCAGCACTCTAATTTTTTTTTTGTACTTAGTATTCACCTTTACGTTTACAATACTTTATGGAAAATAAAATATAAAGAAATTAAAATAAGACTGTTAAGAGTGAGATTTAAATTTCATATTTCACAAGAAAGGTATCTAATTAATTTATAGGTACCTCTCTTATGAAATTTTATCAGAAGTGTACATAAAATACTATAATTTTATGTACATTTATTACATTTTACTGTGTTATTTGTATTTCCATTCATTTTA